TAATGATAATAATAACTATCTGTGTAATTAGTTGAATTTTTATAATGATGATAAAGTATATTATTACATAAATAATTTTTTTTTTTTGACAGAAGCATTACTCCTCAGCAGCGAAAACGCTATACAAGAAGGGAAGGAAAGCCAAATAAAAAGAAACAAGAGAGAGAGAGAAAGAGAGAGAGAAAAGTCACAACAAACATTTAACATACAAACAAGTCAAGGTGCACACTTAAACAATATTTGAAAGTTTGTTTAATTTTAGAAACATTAACAGTCTGTGGAAGGAAGGTTATTCAAGCCAAACTTGTCAATAGGTAGTTTTCGCCGCACTATGTCAACCTTAACGTTAACGGATGACGTCAAAATTTATTCATCTTGCGTTGCCGAGTACGTTAATTTCAGGATTTTACGTGCTCGACGTACTTTAGTTACGCGTTTGTGCATGCATATTTCGATTTGTTTACAATAGGGGCGGACCTATCGCATTGCATACTGGGTACTAACGTTAAAGTTAAGGTTAACGACGTGCGGCGAAAACTACTGAATGAAAGAATGTGATGAACGTGAGAGGAGGACTGACTTGGAATGTGACAGAAAGGAATTGCCTTGTGTGAACTCTGCGAGGAAGCAGAGGGGATTTGACAACAGAGAGAGAAATGAGACACTCATCAAACATAATGGACCGAAAAATTGACAACCCAGAAATATCACATCTGGTTTTCAAAGACTGCAAGTAAAACAGTTGGCAACTGATGTCAAATTTCTTACAAATTACTTTTGCATCTCATTGATTCGTTTAATGTCAGCGTGAGTTTGACTGGCCCTGACCCAGACAGGTGAGCTGTACATAAGTACAAGACCCTTTTTAATAATGATAATTGATTTAATGATGATCATTATGATGATGATAATGATGATAACAATCTGTACAATTAGTTGATAATATCGATAATGAGTTCATGAATTTTTTTTTTTATTAATAAATTTCATTATTAAGATAATAATCATTTCTATTCTAGATAATATTTTCCAGCGTAGGTTAATTTAATTTTGTTTTGCATACCTCTGATTTTTATACCATATTTCTGTTTATCATTATGGTAAGCACAACTTTGTAAAAGTAAGCAAAGCACTAAGGGAGATACATGGATTCTGTGCTTTTAATTAAAAACGTATTTACACTGTACTATTAATAAATCCACTCTTCTTGGTTAGTATTGTTCAAAACCCTTATTACAGTTAATCAGAATTTTTCATAAAAATTACTAATAAAAATTTGTGCATTCAATGAAGAGTAACATAATTATTATGAATTACTATGGTAATACAATCAATACAAAGTCCTCTATCGAAAATTAGAAATTTCAGCTTAATTAACAACATTATATTGAATAGCCAGAAGGGAGTTTTAGATAGTCGGAAATCAGAAGAATTCTGATTCACATATTTATCACAACTTGATTATAAGTACTGTAATTTAATTATGATAACTGAACATCATACTGCGGACATGAATGGTTATGAATATTTCATTTAAAGCCAGGCTGCAAAGAAAAACAATATTTGATATTTTGTTAAAGATATTGAAGGGGTGTTCAGAGAGGAATGTTTATTATTATAACATAATAACATTTACACTTGTATAGCACAAAATTCATGAAAAAGCTTCTATGTGCTTCATATAAAAATAATAAATAAATAAAATATTTAAACAAATACACAAAAAACAAAAGGAAATATAAAAGGGAAAAAATGAAGGCACAAAAAAAGATTAATAGCTGAATATCTGAGAGGTCACATCCGTCACTACCAGTGGCATAACAGCTATGGCTAAAGCCAGGGGTCCCAGAGCCTCAAGGGGCCCCCAGATATTATTTTTACAAGCAATTAATGTTTTCCAAGTCAAAGTCTGCCAAGTGATTGGGGCATTTTTATTATCATCACTATCACCAGTCTATATATCTATGAAAAAAACCATTAAACTTGATTTTTAAAAACAGCATCTGGGGGCCCCTAATGGGTCCCTGCCCAGGGGCCTCCGAGCCCCTTTGTTACGCCATTGCTCACCACACCAGCGCAATCCCGGACCTGTGCCTAGGTGGCTCAAGCGAAGGAGTGGGATACACATTTGCCATGCCACAGGCGAACATGTGCTTGGGGATGGCAGCGAAGATGGCTCCCAAGAGAAAATGGAGGCAAATTTATGTTGTGAAGCAATACCTTTTAAAGAGGTTATTTTGAAAATTAAATGGGTTCAACTCCTATCACACTATACACAATGGCTAATAGGATATGAATTTTTGTATATTAAAAGAAATGGAGAAATAATGGTATTAATATGCCTTTCCCCCAATATTTTAGTATTCAAAAATCTTTATCTTATTCGCTATTCCACAATAATGCTTCAAACACCCTGTAAATGTCTCTGAGTATTTAAATTTCAAAAAAATATTTTTTCTTCAAAGCCTGGCTTTAAGCCAGCCACACCTGCAAATATAGCTCTGTTTAGGAAACCTCAGCAAACTCTTGAGAAATGTTACAGGCTTTTAGGAGCACTCTGCCTTAGAACTCAGCCACTCAACTCACTCATAATCTTTAGGGAGTTCAACACAATTTATTGGGGATCTCAATACAATTCGTTCAGAAAAAAAAAATTCTATGTAACTTTACGGCAGATAATTTCACTTGTGTCCTTGGGCAAGGCACTTTATCTGCAAATTGCTTCTCTCCACACAGGAGTATTGAAAAGTGCGTACCTGGCAGGGTTAAATGCCAAAATGCGCTGATGTAACTGCTGCAACGTTATGGAATACTCCCTCAAGGAGCTTGAGTTTGTGTTCCATAGGCATTTAATTCAACGACCTGGGTGCGGTTAATGATAATGCGAAGTGCATAGAGGGCTTAACAATATGCGCTATATAAATCTACCACTATTATTATTATTATTATTATTATTATTATTAACAGCATGTATATAACTACTACTACTACTAAGGTAACATTTTCACTATCATTATTATTACTATTATTAAGTATGCTTTTCAAATCTAAAATGTTAGTGTCTCTGGAAGTATCCAACTCTCATGGTTCTGGGTGGCTCCAGGCCACACTCACTTACACTCCCGTCAGGGACATTGCGTCCCTTGTCAGGCAAATCCTGTTGCCAGTACTGCAATCAACTTCCTTCAGCTTAGCTTAAATATCATGTTAAACATGTGACTAATACATAAGATTTTGAAAACCCTGTAATATAAAGCTGCTGTTAAACTTGAGTTTAAGTCATTGAATTGGTACAATTGAATATCAAATACTGCAATTCAATATAATTGATTTGTCAATACTAAGCTACGTATTAATGGATGCAAATACTTGATTTTTGAATGTGGTATTGATTCTAGGCAAATCTCTTAGGAGATAGGATTATTGCATCAAGAAAGCAATCACAAATGGACTTAAATGTTTGTCATCGGAATTAATCAAAGGTATTTTGTGACGATTAAGAGGTGGGATTTATTAGTACAGCAGGTGCTCAATTAAAGATACCATCATTTCTATGTAAAATTGCTAAAAACAAAATTGCTAAAAACAACACCAAATCCTACTGTATGATAAACTGTTAATTATCGGTTGTTCTGGTGCATACAGCTGCTACTGGTTAATCGAACCCTTAGAGGACAGGTGTTACTATTACGAGCTTGTCCATACCTCAAGCGCCTTGATACTTTGGTATAAAGTGCTATATGAATCCAACTTTATTGCATTACATTACAAACCCCTCCCACAGTATATACAGGCATTATTTCAGTCGGGGGTAGATTTGTGGGGAGGGGGGACAGGAAAAGTTTTAAAAAAAAAGAAAGTCAAAAAAAAAAAAGAAGAAAGAAAAAGAAAAAAATGATCGCCCAAAACACCTCAGATGTTATTTTTGGGAGTCTAGAAAACAAAAATTTCCAGAACCCCTGAGGTAGTGTTATCTCGATCGGCACCATTTTCGACCCACCTTTCGGACTTCTCTGGATCTGCTCCTGTCAGTGACTGGCTGGAATAATAGGGTGAAATACTCTAAGACTTAGTTGTGGATTGGATTGGACTTACTGTATTCAGTGTAAACACCAAGGATAACCCACGAAAGTCTAAAGCAGATGTATTTCCATTAGGGGTCCATCTCAGGGGCGGATTTATGGGGAGCCGGCAATGCCCCCCTCCCTTTTGGGAGGTAAAAAAAAGAAGAAAAAAAGAAAAAAAGGAAAGGAAAAGAAAAAAATGACAGCCCACAACGCCTCAAATGTTATTTTCGGGAGTTCAGAACACAAAAATTTCGTGGGGGCATGCCTCCAGATCCCCCAGGACATTGTTGTCTCGATAGGAACAAACTTCGGCCCCCCCTTTCAGCCCCCCTTTTGGACATCTCTGGATCCGCCCCTGCATCTGGTGGTGGTTGGGCAGTACAGGGGGACACAATCCCCTACTCTTTTCCGAAGAGTGTACTGCGTTCCGTAACGTGCACATGAGCCATAATGTACACGGGACCAACGGCTTAAACGTCTCATCAAAAAGTCTGTGCGCTATTGTAACTTACATTACAACCAGGGAGCAAGAGATTCCTACAGTTCAGAGCACACACATTTGCTACCACCAGTTTAGCCGACTGAGCTTTCTCTCTTCCGTACATGACATATTATCCTTATAAGATCAGGTTTAATAAATGAGGTAGAAAGAAAAGATATGCTGCTGGGGAATAGACCCAGAGACCCTCAGAATACTGTACTGATACATAGCAAACAGAGCTAGCCTGCCCTCATTGGCAATGATTATTTACAGAGCAGTAGTTTCTTTGCTTAAGGGCCTAGACAGAACCTAATCTAATGTGAATTACTGTATCAGAAATAGTTCTCACAACTCAACCTGAAAACATAGTAGTACAGTATTGCTGATTATCAAGGTAGATATGGATATTGAATCATTAGAAAATGTGAATTATGAGTCAGGGTAAGTTTTACCTTGTATGCTTTTAGCAATGTTATGTGATCACTGTTTCCCTCGGAGAACTCTTTACGTTTCTTGTCGGCCTCTTCTTTTTTGCCAAACGGTGCAACCTGTCAAGGTAATTTCAAGGACTTATTTTAGAACATAACAGATTCATAAATATTTGAAACTTCTGTTTGGGTAGATATAATGTAGAAAATGTTTTCTATACTGTAGGTGTATTTAAATGTGTTTTTTACAATGCTTTTTTCCTTGTTTTTACACAGATTCTATGGAAGGCAGGTAAAAAATGTCAATAATGATAAATAAATATTAAAATAGTACAATATGTATAAACAGCATAAAATAATATAACTTCCGGTCAGATGTATTACTAACTTCAAAATAAAAACAAGATAATCTGAGATTACAAATCCTCACCCTGTTGCACCATATCTACGTACTAAAAAAATAATGGCTTGCGATCGATCCGCTCGAGTCGGCTCGGCCCAGTCAAAAAAGGCCAAACAATGCACTCGATTTGCCTCTGTCTGTTGCGGACAGAAAATATATAACACACCAAATTTAGGAAGACTGAGATATATTTAACATTGTCAATGTGTGAAAATCGAAGTAAATCAGTTTAGTAGTTTTGAGTTATGGGTCCGGAAGTACACACACACAGACACACGCTATTATAATACCCTTCACCTCTCCTTCGGAGATGCTCGGGTAAATAAATAATAAAATACATTAACATTATTGACAAACAAATAAAATTTAGGTTGAAACTCGTACTGGAGAAAAAGAAAATTGCATAAGGAATAAATAGGAAACATCTAGTAAAATAGAAAACACTTACAAATGGAGATCTGTAACTTAGTATGGCAGCGATGGTCAACACCGGATCCAAGCATCTGAAAATGGCGCCAAAGAGCATTAACTTCCCAATTCTTACGTCCACTGGCAGGCTAGCAAGATGGTACCCAAGAGAGGTCAAGTCCTGTGCTTTGTTTAATGCACCTAGGTTACATAGCCTGTTGATAGCGTCTGATATATTACTGGCCGGTGGCGGCTGGAGCAGGTTATTGAGTACATCCTACCAAAATACAAAAAAAAAAAAATTAGTAAAACAATAATTTCTCTTTTTTAATTTAGTTGTAATATAAGCATATCATTTTGAAGAACTCTCAGGGGGCAGATCTAGGATTTTGGAGCTACAAAAAAATTCAGATGTTTCGTATCAACACCACCATAAAGAGTATGGTCCCCTTATGACACAGATATGATGCCAGCAGTGTTTCATCATATAAAATTTGATAAGTCTGTGTTTTCAGGGTTTAACAATGTGCATAGAGTATTGACGTGTATACGGTATTCCAAGTAGCTGCCTATGAAAACAGTTTCTCATTATACTTTTTAATTGTAAGCTAAAAATAGCAAGCAATTCAATCATTCAGTTTAAATACCTGCGGCGAGGAGGTTATGCATTATTGCTCTAAAGCACTGTCCACACTATCAAATTTTCTTTGATGAAAAACTGCTGTATGCCCATATATGGTCATGATGTGCCTATATATGGTCATGATGTGATGTCATCATGACCATATTTAGGCATGTCACATGTTTTTGTCAAATAAAATTTGATAGTCTGGACAGGGCCTAAGACTGTATGTCAGCTGGCTTACACATAAAATAATTAATGAATCATCACATATATTGAGTGCAGTAGTACATTTGGGGTCTATGGAAGAGGTGATTAAAATTTAGGGAAAAAAGGTATGGTTAAGGTCATGGAAACATTCCTTTCAAAATATCCCATCGGAATAAAAAAGAATAATGAAATCACCTGTCTCGCCCATAAATGCCTTACATACTATTTGGGATTCAGACGCAGGGCAGATGTATGCACTCTATGAAATGCTGCACTTGTTCATTATTTATTTATCTTGACCCATACATATACTTAAACAAATGTGGAATGGGCTGTGAAATATAAATCAACCAAATAACCATAACAGTCCGAACTTAAAAATAAATATATTTTCCATACATTTGGTTTTTTTTTTTGCAAATGTCATCAATTCATTAACAAAGATTAATTGACCATTCCCTGAAGAAAAAAAAATCAATCTCCAACCAAATAATTATTCCAACCTTTCTTGTTTATCTATTGCACTTTATCTTAAAGGTTGTTGCGTCACGTTTTCTTGAGAACGTTGTACTTAGCGTTAATCAATTTTTCGACGCATACTGTATGTCCACCATTTTTTCCAGTAATACAAACAAACACCTTACGTTGGCCTGGTGACTATAGTACAATGAATTTACATTATGAAAATTGAATTGTACAATCAGAGTGTTGTCATAGCAGAAACTGGTGTAAATATTAATGAGTGATATTGTTTTTTATAAAAATTCTACGAAAAGAATTCTGTCCTTTTTTGTTAACTGTGGTTAACATACTCTGCAACTCAAGATGAATAAATATGATGTCATCCGTTAACCTTAAGGTTAACATCGTGCGGCGAAAACTACCTATCAGAAGAATATCCGTAGTGTTTTTTGTTACCTGGAATCAGATTGGTGTTTGTTCAATGTAGTTGAAATAAATGTCTTTGTGTGGGTTATGAACAGCGGCGGATTGTGTTGTCTCATCGGCCCAACTTTCGGCCCCCTTTCGGTACCCCCATCTCTGGATCCGCCCCAGGTTTGGTGCTTACTAGAGGCATAAACAATAATGTTCCTACTTCTTTGTATATAATAAAATCTTAAAATAGGGGGGGTGGAGGTTGATGAGGGGGTATGAACATACTGTACAGTGGGAGAGCTTGATGAGCAAGTGAGGGATGTTATTTTGCATTAAAAAAAAAGTCATTAGAGGTGGTTTTTCACTACTTGTACATGATCTTTTTGCTTCTAATATTTCCGTGTACCCCACAAATACCCCCTTCCCCTAGATTTGCTATTACAGACAGGGCAGCATAATCTCTACATTTAATGTTAATAAAAGACTTACCTTTACAAAGAGACCATTGAAAACATCAAGCATTTTAATTTTTAGGACCACTTGTTCTAACGGCACACGCTGTATTTCTGCAAAGCAAGTTCCAAGTATTATCATTTTTAAATTCCATCATTTTGTCTTCAAATTCATAACTTTTGTATAAGTTTATTAATTATTTTTCATTTTTAATTGTTTGTATCCTGCAACTTTACATAGTTGCAGGATATTTTTAATATAATTTTATTATATTAAATATTAATAATATCATCACCATCATAATCATCCTAATCATCTCTACAACTTTTCAGGGCCCTACCAATACCTTCAACACCATCATAATTGTTGTCATTATATTCACCGCCATCGTTATCATATTCTTCCTCCACATCATTATCATTACTCCTAATATCATCATCACCATGTTACAACCAGTACTATCATCCTTTATCATCACTACAATCACCATCATCATGTCATACCAACCACCACCATCATTACCATCCCATAGCCATCATCATCATCCCTACTACCATTATTATTGCCACCACCACCCACCCCATCATCTACCATCATGCCATATCAACCACCACCATCATTACCATCCCACAGCCATCATCATCATCCCCACTACCATTATTATTGCCACCACCACCCTCCCCATCATCCACCATCATGCCATATCAACCATCATCATCATCCCAAACTACCACCACTATTGCCACCACAACCCTCCCTACAACTCTCACTACCATCATCTACCATCATGCCATATCAACCACCACCATTATTACCATCCCACAGCCATCATCATCATCCCCACTACCATTATTATTGCCACCACCACCCTCCCCATCATCTACCATCATGCTATATCAACCATCATCATCATCCTAAACTACCACCATTATTGCCACCACCACCCTCCCCACAACTATCACTACCATCATCTACCATCATGCCATATCAACCACCACCATCATTACTATCCAACAACCATCATCATCATCCCCACTAATACTATTATTATTGCCACCACCACCTTCCCCACAACTATCACTACCATCATGCCATATCAACCGCCACCATCATTACCATCCCACCACCATCACTACCATCCTCACTACCACAATCACTACCACCACCGCCATGCCTACCATCATCACTATAATCACAATCATTATCACAAATCAAATCTCTGCACCACAACCACAATGGACCTTTAAGGCGTGTCAATCAAACTCAACAACTGACCAATCAGAACAGTGCCAGAAATACGTGAATGCCCTACACACATGTTGTTCCACAAACCTATGCAAGTACACTTGCGCTATTGTTTGTGTTGGACCTTAACAACAATATGGAAGGGGTGGGGCTTGAGGACATGTCCATTCAATTAATATGCGTACGCAATCCATATTACCTGGTATAGGCTGCTCCCTAAGCCATGCTTGAAAAGTATGACTGGTGAAAAGATGGAAGGCAATGCCTGACATGACACGACCAGCACGCCCTTTACGCTGAAGCGCATTCGCTTTAGAAACCCAAGTAGTTTCCAAACTCTCCATGCTTTTGCTGGAATCATATCTACCAAAACAAAAGAGTATAATCCATATTAATATGCAAAATTTAAGAAAATTTACATGAATAAATTAATAATTTTATTTTAATACCATATTTATTTGAATAGATGCCCAGGAGCCTTTATTGTTGGGAAGTGTCTTTGAGGGAGCGTATATTCGTGAGAAGCGTTTATTCAAGAGTGATGTTTATTTTTTGGGGTGTAAAATGGACACGTATAATACTCAAATAAATGCCACTTAATTCCACAGTGAAACTACAACACGTAATTACCGTCAAAACGTGTTACTACATGATCATTTGACTTATTGAGACCCCAACCAGGTTAGAAAAAATGCAACTCTACTGGAGTAAAATATTAATTGTATGTGTTCAGAATAAAGTTGCTTTTATTAGTTTTGTTTACCATTAATTAGGGGGCGTTTATTCACGGAAAAAATTTATTAGAGGGAGGCGTCCATTCCAAATGAGGTTTGAGGGGGTGTTTATTCGAATAAATACGATAAATATATTATATTTCAATATTTTCTATAAATTTTTGTATGATTTCTTTGTGCTTCTTTTAATTTTTAATGTTTTTTTTTGCAGGTTCACTCCAATAAAGGTGCAGCAAGTTCAATTTCCAAAAGACTCCAATTGAAAAAAAAAAAAAAAAAAAAAAAAAATTTCACTTTCCAAAACTCCCACCTATACTTAAAACTACCCACTTACTATTATAGAAAACCCAATGAGAAATTAAAGCTACAAGCCTATGACAATCCAACATACAACTAAATTGTATATATGTGCAATTAATCATATAACTTCATTCATTTCAGAAGCAATTAATGTCTATTTATAGTATCTATACAAAAAAAAAGGCTTCATTAATTATCTGAAGTGTTTACCTTTTTCATATCTTAGATTGTCTCTGATGAAGGGGGACAGGAGCAGACAAGAGTGTCTATTTCTGTGATGTTCTAATTTCTAATTTAATTCAATTAACAAATACAATTTTTTAAAATGTTTAAATTAGGATAAAAGATGAAAAGGACATTCATGAAACTTATGAGCTTGTACATTGAAGACGTGGAAGTACAATAGTAAAATTGTTTAACAAATAAAATATAAAAACATAAGTTCACAACACCACAAAACAATACAACTTAACCTAAAAATCTAAGGAAGAATTTTTCTTGACCAATTGGCCACTGTCTTTAGCTTCTTTTGCCTTTTTGATTTTAAAAGAATCATGTAAAATCTGACATTTCGTTATGAAGCTACAGGAGTTTAAACATACAGCTGTTTAATAGAACAGTATTTGAGAAATCAGCCTTCAAAGTGTATGATTTTGGCTATTTCTCAGGCAGAGACCATTGCCAAATCATTAAAAAATGTTGTTTTAATGTAGAAACTAGGGAAAATATAGCATGATGGGCCGATATAATAAATACTGTATGAAGCTAGTTTAGTACAATAATGTTGACAATATAATAGGATTAAAAATGAGAATGCCAACCAAAAATGATTTTGTTTTATATTTCTTATAATATTCTTTAATGTATTTTTAATTGTTATAGCTATATTAATTGCTATCACAATAAAAGAAACTATGGATGAAAAGAAAATTGTGTAAAAAAAATTTAAACATGGCAGAGTTATGTAAACAGAAATAGGAAATATGGATAGAATGCAGCTGGAAAAAATACTGTAGCCCCATCCTTACTATTAAATAGTGGTAGTAATACAAAAGCAGTGTGTATATAAATAGCTACTAATTTGCATACTGATGAATAATTCATATACCAGTATAGAGAAAATTATTCGCCATTGGCACTATCTTTTGTAAGAAGAAAGAGGACAATTTGATTTGAACTAGGCAATATTCTTAATTTACACCACATTATAAATAGACTACAAAATGTATCTAATTTACATTTCTATCAAGGCCCAGACAAACAAAATTTTGATTTAATAAAGATTTACATTAAATGAATTGATATTGATGTTGCGATGTTGTAGAGCAACTCAAAAAAGAAGTAATTGTAGATATACTAGTAATTGTAGACCCACAGATTAGTTGAGAGCATCTACGTCAAATTATATAAAATCAGTAAACTTCTCCTTCAAAAACATAATTTTATGTAGGCCCTGTATCTACATACAGTAGTTATTCGAATAAATGCCCCCACCAGAGCCACATTTGGAAAAAACACCTTCCTTAAACGCCCTGCTAAGTGACTAACGAAAACTAATTGAAGCAATATTTTTCTTTCAACACATTCTATAAATATTGTACTTCAGTAGAATTACATTTTTTCTAACATGGTTTGGATCAGCAAGTCTTTATGTTCACACAATAACACGTTTTGAGAGTAATTATGTGTTGTAGTTTCACATTTACAATTGATTTATTTACTTTATTTATTCTTTCTTTTTACTGGATTGCATTTTTACTAACATAGTACTGCTTTCCAAAATGGTCCAGTTACAAAGTACAGTAAAGTAAAAAGTAATAAAAGTTTAAGGTTATATAAAGGAATTAAATTAAAGTCGAAAATGTACAAAGGTAAAAATCTTAACTAAATTACATTTAAATCAATAATGATTGAATTTGGAATTGGAATTTAATAGAGATGGAATTTAAGGGGCATTTATTTAAGTATATAAAACATATCCATTTACCACCAAATATAATAAACGCCTCCTTTGAATAAACGCCCCCTCAAAACCATTGTCAACAACAAACGCCTCCTACAACCAACACCTTTGGGCGTTTATGCAAATAAATAAACATTGTTATGTATTCCTTCCTTACAGAAAAATGCTTCATCTAACCCATCTACCTAAAAATCTAATTCAGAAACCTAAATTCTACAACAAAATGTAAGAATAGTCACTCTAACGTTTATGGTTTATGTGAATTAACGAACAGGAAATGATTTTAAGCCTTGCCAACTACCAAGTGAACCATATCAAGCTCAAACCTATGATCTTGTGAACAATAGTCCTAACTTTACCATTGTGCCTCAGTACTCCATAGAAAACATACTATATGAAATTGTGTATCCTTGATTTTTTTGATTGGTCTATATATAGATCCTTATTAGGTTTGTACATGCATCTATGATTCAATCAGATTAATACTCAGATCCTATGTTGATCAAATTAGTTTGATTAAATTTACTTTAACCATGAAATTATGACTATACAACGAAGGAATAATTTACCATCTCCAACGTACACATATGAACAAAGGCATCCTTCCTTTAGAATCTTAATTTGATGGGCAAAACCATATTCAAGTTGTTATGAGGGGATGAACGTCAGTGGTTGCTAATTTCCAATAACACCTAATCACATGTAAAGATTCTTTGCCTTTACTACATTAGCATTAACGAGAATGATTTTATAGTTCTTTTTTTTTTTAACCTTCAAATTTCTTTTATTCTCTTCCAAATCGTTTTTATATAGGATTTATATAGCACTAGCATATACCAGTGCTCTGCACCACTCTGAATGAGTGGGGAAGGTGACGATGCATATAGTTAAATGTTATGGAAAGTTGAGGAGGCAATCATGGTGGATGGCCTGATGATCAGTTGAGGTGCGCCAATTCGCAAAATAAGGTGATTTTTAACTACTTTACCATGATTTTTTTTGTGGGGGGAGTGGGGGTGGAGACTGAGGTGGAGAGTAATTTTTTTTTGGGGAGGGGGGGAGTGTGCCTCCCTGTGCACCGCCTAGATATGCCACTGTTCCCATAACAATTTCTAAATGCTTAAAGGTATTGTCCCCTGAAAATGACCAAAAAAATATTTTAAATAATTTAGAAATTTAACTTGCTCATTTTGCAGTTTCATACAAATTACTTGTGCATAGAAATTTTTGAATTTTAAAAATGTGTACCCTGATTTTTTATACTGGATAATAATAAAAATATTAAATATTTCTATTATTTTTTTTACTGTAAAATTATGGGGCAACATTTTAAACACTAATTTCTATATTCATGTTGATAATTGTTATGTTACTGCCTAGATATGCCACTGTTCCCATAACAATTTCTCAATGCTTAAAGGTATTGTCCACTGAAAATGACAAAAAAATATATTTTAAATAATTTAGAAATTTAACTTGCTCATTTTGCAGTTACATACAAATTACTTGTGCATACAAATTTTTGAATTTTAAAAATGTGTACCCTGATTTTTTATACTGGATAATAATAAAAATATTAAAATATTTCTATTATTTTTTTTACTGTAAAATTATGGGGCAACATTTTAAACACTAATTTCTATATTCATGTTGATAATTGTTATGTTACTTCAAAATGAATTTTTGATATTTTTTTTTCATCAGACAATACATCTTTTATGCAGACCTAAATTCTTGATGAAGATGGGAAAGAAAACATATTTTTCCATCTGCCAGTAAGTTATAGCGCACTCCCTTCTATAATATTTACAAAAAGTTTAGTGTCCAGACAATTTCACTCTAACTGAGCCCCATTTCAGAGTAAATTGTTAAAACAAATTCTGTGTCTTGAGATAGTGCATAGATCAGTAAATATAATATAATTATTTATTCATTCATTCACTCATCTCATGAATTTCACTTATTTCATTCATCCCACTCATCTATATTTCATTCATTTAATCATTTCATTCATTCTCTCAATTACATTTAATGTCACTGATTTATCTTATTTAACATATTTCATGAATTCATTCGAAATAGAAAATTACAACACTATACATTGCTACGTTCCAATCTATTACCATTCTCATTGTATTTCAAAAATTTGTATTTACTTAAGAATAGAAAAAAAACAAATACTGAAGTACATAATATTATAAAATCGACAGCTTATAATAATGCTTTGTGATTATTCAATAAGTTTGATCGCCCATAAAATTTGGTATTATATGCATCAAATGTCAATGCAAATTTTAAAAAAAAGTGAAAAACTGTACATCTAACTAGAACAGTGTTTAGTGAACTTTAAACTTTATATAGTGTCATAGTTTACCATGCAAAGTGTGAGGCAGCTTTCGATATGCACAACGCGATTTTTGTTGATATTCAACAATGACCACATACACAGCATTTACAATATTCATTTTATCATCAATAAGTGATTTACAATAGTTGTATTGTTTCATGAGTAAATATTCTATAATACTGCTGTACACAATTTTAATTTATTTATTTTATTTCAACGATATTTTTATCGTTATTTTATTTTTTGAGGGTGGTCCATCCAGCCGGAGATGATCATTAGGGAACCTCAATACAAGATACAAGAAACAAAAGGAAATTTAAATGTGGTTATTTGTTTGTTATCGATGACTGGCAATGATGACTGGCATAGCAAATAGAAATCATACCAATATAGACAGCAATCCTACCTTTTTTCTTTCATTTTGCCTGCATCAATAACAAACACCACGTCGTCGATAGTAACGGATGTCTCGGCGATGTTTGTCGAGATGACAACCTTGCGTTCACCATCCTTCGCTTTCTCAAAGACGGAATTCTGATCCTCACTTGACAGACTTGAGTGAAGGGGAACAAGCTTATATCTAGTAAAAACAAAAATAAAGTTCAAATAAGTGGACGAAAAGCGAAGAAGTTAACAAAGAGAAATCATTAGAAATCTATTACTTAAATAATTTTAACCCCCGTGAAATATTTATTTCTAAAAATTATTTATTTATTTTTAAAATTTGTGTTTATAATTCATGCACAGTAGCAAATAACAATTTGAATTTTACAAATAAAATTATTATAACCAAAAGTAATCAAATTATAGTATTTTTATTTGTTTTAGGCCCAAATGATATATCAAACAGTAAACTTAATCGCTTTTGTGGCATATCCCTTCAAAAGATAATCATGTACACAATGAGCTAGGTCAGTCAGCTGAACTAGTGGTAGCTACTGTGTGTGCTCTAGCCGTGGAGATCTCTTGGTCCTTGGTCTAATCCTATCACTGCTCTCCTTGTGTATCAGCTAGAGGTCTGAAATTCAATTTTGAAATGCGCACCGTCTTTTGGATGAGACATTTAAGCTGTGGTCTTGTGTGCAAAACTAGCTCATGTGCATGCTAAAGAATGCAGTGCACACTTCAGAAAACAGTAGGGGATTGTCTCCCGGTGTACTGCCAAATTTACCACCAGAAGGACCCCACTGGAAGTAAGTCTTAGGACTTAAGAAAATCCAATCCAATCCAAGTCAAGATGCCCCACATAAACTCATTATGTCTCATTATGAGGCTTAGGAAGTGGAATTGAACCCAGGACCCTGAGATTGGAAGGCAAGCTGTTCAGCTTTAACCACGAAGCTGTTCAAACTTCATACCAAAGTTTAAAGAAAGCTAGGGAGTCAGTAGGCCCATCTTACCTGATGGTACATTTTGGAGATGACATTGAGGCTTTGAGGCGATCAAACAACATGGTGATCTCTGCCAGGCCTGGTAGAAACACAAGAATAGCGCCCTCTTTGGGAAACTGCAGAGACAAATTAAATGCTTCATTCATAATTGTCTGTATAAAATCTTTAAAAAATTTTTTTAAAAACTCAAACATTCAAATAAGTATAAAAAATAAACTTGAATTCATACTTAGCAAGTTTAAGTCCTATCCAGACTATTAAATTTTATTTGACTAAAAACGTATGCCTTTATATAGTCATGATATGCCCTTATATAGTCATGATATGCCCATAAATGGTCATGGTAAAAGAGCAGCTTAACTCAACCGGCTAAACTGGGGGTAGCCACTGTGTGTGCTAACTGTGAAGGTCTCTTGGTCCCCGGTTTAATTCACACCACTGCTACAATTGTATCTCAGATAGAGGGCTAAAATGCAAGTTACAATAGTGCAGCGTCTTTCGGATGAGACGTTTAAGCCGTTGGTCCTGTATGCATTATGGCCCATGTGCATGTTAAAGAATGCAGTACACTCACCGGTAAAGAATAGGGGATTGTTTCCCGGTGTACTGCCTAGTCACCACCAGAAGGACCCCACTGGAAATAAGTCTTCTTCAGACTTTCCTGGGTTATCCTTGGTGTTGACACCGAATAAATCCATCCATCCATGATGTGATGTCATTATGACCATGTTCAGGCATGTCATATGTTTTTATAATAAAATTTAATAATCTGGATAAACTTTAAAACAATTACGTTTCGCTGATTTTACGCAATCAATGACTGGGAGGAAGAGGTTGGGTGGGGGGAGGAATTGGGTGCTATCTTCAAGATAAAATATTGCTGCAAGAAATGTATATCATTTGAAGTTTAAAAAACAAGTACTCACTTCATGTTCTCCAGCAACTATCCATGATATTAATCCTTCAATCAGATCGTAATTAATCTTATCATGATCCAGTATCGACAAAGACTTTATAGTTGACTTTGTATAATCTGTAGAGAAAAACAAAGAACATCCGTAAATTCCCAAATGTTTTTCTAGCACTGATATTTAATGTATACATTGTTTTTGAAAGAATAAAAAGTTCTTATTTTGGTTGATATTGCATGATTAAATACATTATTTTTATTACAAGTACCCTTTTATTTAACTAAACCATATATAACTGTTATTATTGAATATGTAAAAATTGATGATTAACATCTGAATTTGCATTACAAACCACATGAATGTACCAATATCAAGAAACAAAACAGCATTCAAAATATATTCAGACAAATATTATAATTAGGAAGCTTATGGTATTTATGTATGACAATTCTGTGGAGAAAAAAGTGTTTTTACAATTATATATGTTGTATCATGTAAAAAATGTATCATCTCTTGAAATTAACTTGCTAATTTTTTAATAAAAAACAAATGATTAACTTGAGCATAGAAATTAGTGAATTAAACAAATTTTGTACTGGATAATATTTTTTCTCCCGATAAAATTATGGGTAAAACATTTTTTCCCCTTTTTACAGGAGACAATAATGAATTCTGTGAATTAGTTAACCAAAAAACTAATTATAGTAGAACCTCCTTTGAGACACCCATATTAAGGGGACACCCCTATTAAGGGGCACCCTTATTAAGGGGACATTTGTTTGCTGCAAATCTAAAGTGTATTTTTTATTAAGGTGAAACACTTTTGTTGGTCCACTTTTAGTGTATTTCTAAACTTTTACCTGAATATCTGTAAGCCAACTGTCTCTGAGTGATGTTCCAATCTTTCATGTGGTCTTCTGGGGGCTGAAAGGCTGTTGTGGACTGCATAGCATTTTCCACCTCATCCCAAACACTTCCTGAGAAGTTGCCTTTGGTTAGCTCCTTGGCCACGCTCTCTGATGTCACCTGTGCTTTACGTTTCACCGGTCGAGAGTAGGCGGAGTTCTCCTCCACCACAAACCTGTATATGGTAAAATAGAAAAAATTTTTTTTTTTCTAAGTATGATCTTTGTTAATTATACCTATTTGTATTTATCTTTAAGCACAAGGTCAAAGATATGCAAAACAGGAAACTTATCACTCCTCTCTGGGGACTGCATATGCAGGAGCAAGGTATATCTTGTTTAAAAGTTTGCATGGCGAAGTAATATCATATATGTTTAAGCTTGCGGTACACCAAGTAGGTAGTTCTGAAAAGAACTGTTGGAGTTGAGAAAGTCAGATAAGGTATATCTTATCTAATTTCGTTTAAGAATGTGTTAGGACACTGCAGGACATACATCCCTCCTCTAAACATTCCGTATATCTCTGTTTCTAGCTTCTAAAACTAGTTTGGAGAGTCTACCTTTAATCATTCATCGATCTTGTTGTCAGTATATCATAAAATACAAAATGTTTCTTGAGTAGTTGGTATTGTGTAAAAACCATTTCAACAGTAATAACTTTCTTTCGTAAATTTTGCACTTTTGAAAAGTTTTGTACAAATATTAACATTTTTATCTTATGACTTTTTCGATGCATCAGTATTCTTTATACTCTAATTAATCAATATTGTGGACTGTATATTTGTACTGTACCTTGTATACTCAATGGCATCCTCCAGAAAGTACTGTTGTACAGGAAAAGTTTTACCTGAAAAGAACAAGTAAGTTTTTGGGTTATTCCAATATTTTCAGAGGGTAGTTTTCTATAACTGGTTGGATTAATCAGACAAGCATTAATGAAGTAAACATCTGGGTATTAGCTACATAACCTCCAAATCCTGCAGTTTTATGCTATGCTATCTTTGCTCTCAAAATATCAATGAGTGTAAAATTCCATAAAAAAGGAATTTATATAACCACCATTACCACTACAATAAGGAAACTAAATTACTGTGCCATCATTATCACTAGCATCTATGGATTCCTATGTCAATTGCATTTTTTGTATAAAATGCATAGAGGCAAGCTGTAATATGGGCTACAAAAAATTACTATTCTTATTATTATTATTTATCACTATATTTTAGAATCATTTGGCTATACAAGTTCTCTTTCTTGACAGATGGGCAAAAATTACAGTAACTAAGTCTACAAATAAAACTAAAATGAGCCCAATGAGTGTGAGCCCAATGGGGCAGACACAAAAAGCCTCTGTAAAATTAATACATGGTCTAAATTACTAGCTACAACCCCACAACTAGGCCTAAAGTTGTGTGCAGAAAAAACCGACATAATGCTACTTATGGTTTTATCAGTGTATAATCTTGGCAGCTAGCTTCTGAACTGTAAATACGGTGTTTACTCTGATCAAATAGTAAAACCCATGCCTCTTTACAAAACTTGAGTGTAATAGCTCGCTTGTAGACATAAGAAAATTCAAACGGCAAAAAAATAATGATGACGATTACGTAATATGTATTCATGCGCTAGGTTGAATGATTCTATTTCACTTTCGAAGGTAACTTTCGCCAAAGAAAACTTGTCTCCAGTTGATTCATTCATGTAGAAAAGAAACTGTGCAGACGGACAAAATGAAAGATTCCAGGTTCAGAGGTTAAAGTTAAATAACTATTTGCATGCGATCTGAATATCATGTTCTCACCTGGAATGTCTATGACGGGACAACCGCCAAAATAGTTTGAAAACAATTCTGCATTCAAGGTTGCGCTCATGAGGATGACTTTGAGATCTTTCCTCTTTTGTAGAAGATTCCGTAGTATCATTATCAAGAAGTCGCTACAACATACAAGAATCAGACACAGGTTACAAAGCGGTTACAGGCAGGATTTTTCTTAATCTGATATTAATAGTACAGTTCACTTTCCAATTTGAGACTGCTTTTTAGAATTAAGAATCTGGGGTGGTCTCGGAGTTTGATCTCCAATTAGAGGATTACCTTTGTGTTAAAAGACTGAAGATTATTTGGTTCTTTAGAAAAGTGGTCTCGAATTGGAGGGGTCAATTACATAAAGGGTTCTCAAACTGGAGGGTGCAGTGTATTGTTGAGATAATTTATAAAAGTTAGTCTTAAAAGTGCTGCTGTCATTTCATTTATATTGTTAATTAAGGTAACTATAACAACTTTATTTTCTATCAAAATAATTGTTTATTGTAATTTATCATAACATTTAAAAATGCTCAGGATCTCGATAAGAGACTTAATTAAATATTGTTACTCTTCAGATAATAAACAAAGTTTATCATAGTTAAGACAGGTTTTGTTCTTTCATAAACTTCCAATCAATCAATGAATTAATCAATAATAATAGTAATTTCTTATTCCACCTCATTCCAATCGGAAGTCGGAAGTTTGAGCTGGGTCCCAGGGTACCTGTGGCAGCCACAGTGTAGCGCCACCCAACGTAACTAGATGTCACATGACAAGCAAAATTTAATCTTTTCACTAAACAGCACTGTCTTGATACAGCAAAATCTAAAAAGATGTTTAAAAAAGCTTATTATTGTTAAGTGTGTAGCAGTAGATTGGACATACCTTTCCTCACTTCGTTCATGCACTTCATCTACTATGATGTGGGACACACCTTGCAGCGTAAAATCACCCTCTAAACGTCTCAACAAAATCCCTGTTGTACAAAACAACAGCCGAGTACTGGCAGACTGGGTGAAAAAACAAAAAAACAAAAGCATGTTGGAATGATTTCATGAATAACATGAATATAAAACAATTTTATAATTGTTATACAGTTAGATTGGATTTATAACTACAAAGCTCATCAGTTAACAAGGATTCAGGCAATTTGAGGTGAAGTCTAGTAGTGAATTCTACAGGGATCAAGTAGTAGAACCTACAACACCCCTTACCAGGTGGAATTGACAGATGAAATGATTTTACCTAATTAATATACATGAAGTATAGTTGTTGTCCACTAACTGTACACCTTAATGGGGTCTTTTCTCTTTTGTGCCTATCCACTGTTTGGTATTAAAAATTGAGATAATCAACTATACTAAAAAGGCAAATTACATAACAATGAGGGGATGCAGTTAAGTAATATATTAATATATTTTATAAACATTGGAATCATTCTTTAAATACTATCAATCAATATTTACTTACTAAATTATAATGTATTGTAAATCATATATTTAGGCGAACAAAAACTTAACCTTCAACAAACCTGCATATTTTCAAGACGAATCTGGTATCCCACAATGCCTTTGAGTCTTTCTGCACGTTCCTTTGCCACACGGTCAGCAACTGCAACAGCGGATATTCTCCTAGGCTGTGTGCATACTATATTGCACAGTTTTGGGCCAACTTGTTTGAGGGAAGCATCTAGTATAAACTGAGGGACTTGGGTTGTTTTACCACAACTGAAAAAAAATGTTTGAGAGATAACAAATATATGCAAAGTTTTTGTGTTTTAGGTTTATTTCATTGGAAATTATTTGGTTCTGAAACATAGAAGATATCATTTATTCAGCTTTAGGCACTAGGGCCAAGGATATGCCAAGCAGTGAACTAAATCACTCTTCAAAGTGGCAATCCCATCACAAGACAACAGGGGCTGTATGGGCCAGTACACCGGGGTAACTCTCAACTCATCTCGAAATATTTACTGGGTTCTTTAAAGTGCACAGGAGCCAATTGTATACACTGGGCCTACGGTTTATAGTCATTATCTGAGAAGACTTGTTCCACCTCCAGAACCATAGGCGAGCATGCCGTTCGAACCAATGCCAATATTAAAGCTGTTGGTTGCAGCATCAGTGCCTTAACCGTTCGACCATTCAACTCGCCATCGCAATCATAAACTGTGTCTAACTTATCTGTAATGACAGCTCGGTAGGTCATTGCTCATGTGATACCATGACGAAGCAATGTAGTACCATATAGAGGTGATACTTTTAAAAAGATATGCTTTGATACACACTTTAACAAGTTTTTCTTTAAAGAAAAAAACAATTTTTTTTTAAAGTTAAGCACTGATATTACATACCCTGTCATACCACTGACGACCACTACCTGGTTTTCATTCAAGACTTTCAGGATCCTTTCTTGCTCCGACCACGCGGGAAGGTTCTGGCGCTGGGCAAGCATGGACTTGTAAGAGGAAGATCCCTAGAAAATTGTATTTCAATCAAAATAAATTGCAATCTTCACGAAACATGCAAAAAAACAACAAACAATTCTTGGCCACTGTTTAGTTGCTTTTAAGTTTTTAATTTCTATTAATTCCAGACAAAATGTTTGGCTGCTCAACATTTATCAATCTAAATTTTAAAATACCAAACAATGTTAAATATTAACTTTAACAATTGTAATTATTATAAGGCACTACAATATTATTAGTAGGCCTATAATTACTATGCCCGATTATCTTAATCGATATCAGCACTGCCATTATCATCATTGTCATCATTAACATGACTTGTACCATTATCGTTATTAATTATATTACTTTACTAATATTATGATTATTATTATTGTATTATTGTATTATTAGTATGGTTATAATATTTACAAATAATATGAAATGAAATTTCACCTGTGTTTTCTTGAATTGATTTAGTTTAGTTGCTTTTAAGTTTTTAATTTCTATTAATTCCAGACAAAATGTTTGGCTGCTCAACATTTATCAATCTAAATTTTAAAATACCAAACAATGTTAAATATTAACTTTAACAATTGTAATTATTATAAGGCAGTACAGTATTATTAGTAGGCCTATAATTACTATGCCCGATTATCTTAATCGATATCAGCACTGCCATTATCATCATTGTCATCATTAACATGACTTGTACCATTATCGTTATTAATTATATTACTTTACTAATATTATGATTATTATTATTGTATTATTGTATTATTAGTATGGTTATAATATTTACAAATAATATGAAATGAAATTTCACCTGTGTTTTCTTGAATTGATCTTTAAGCCTCCTATTCTGCCTTTCAACAGACTTAGGATCTCTTTGTGGTGGTATGTAATCTTTGCTTTGATTCTTCATGCTCTCTTGTGGCAAATTCTCTGGCTTAAGTTCTTTCTCTTCCACATCCTTCATATCAGAATCCACAGGAACAACTTTCTTTGGATGTGCAGAACGTCTTGGAATTTGGACAGGAACCGGAAGACTCAAAGGAAGAGCGGTTTGCATCAACATATCAACCACTTGACTCTCGTCCTCAAGAAGCGAGACAATGCCAAACACCGACGGAGAAGCATTTTCAGCGTGGCTCACTGCTTCCTGGAACAATCGTTTTGATATATTAAGGCACTTACTATAAGAGAGTTTGTCGTTTGAGCTCAAGAAGGCAACAAGAGGTGGTTCATTTGGGTATTTGTTATTCTCTGGAAATCTCACTTCTATCTCATAGAATTTTGTGTCTGATAACTCTTCTTCTGGAACGAAACTAATTTTGCTTTTTTCTTCTGGCTTTGCATGTGTTTTCCAGCACCTTGCGCCATACCTGCAATTACCGCGTAAAAAAAATTCACATATATCTTCGATTCTAACATGAGGTTTCGATTTCTTCTCAGCTTTTATTTGTGCTTGGTACTGTTCACCGACAAACTCGTTCATGTGTTGAAGCTGAAGCTTCAGTATCCAAACACGATTTGGAATTCTTTCCTGGAAATCGTCTCCGTAAATGGAACTCAGCGCAATGGCTTCTTCTTGACGTTGTTCAATGCAGCTGTCCATTGATATCGTGCTGTCATCAATTAGATTAGCGGCACTGATGTCACCTTGGTAGCACTGGGATAGTAACACTTCCAATGCCACATCAAGCTCACCATTGCTTTCTTCTAATGCTAATAAACAGTGATCCTTATGAAATCCATACCTGTGTACAAAAAATTAATGATAAAACTGAATGAACCAGCGTTTTAGATGTGTCGATAGAGAGGTATTTACTAATATGACATATTTTTTTGTAGATGAAAATAGATTGAGCAGGTTGTAGAAATATGATGAGTAAACTCATAATGATGATATTATAATGTTAAGTATATTTAAAGTGAATCAACAATAATTAACTTTTGGTCTGAATGATACAGTTCAGCCTAATGCTGTGAAAAAAAACAATCTTCTTGAAATTTAAGAAACTACAATCAATATTATTATCACTATTTTTAATAAAGAAAATCATTATCCTTATTAATTTTTGTAAATCCATCAATATTTCACTCAATTAATTACAACACAAAAATTGTTTTGAACATAATAAAAAACCTTATACTTGTTGAAAGGTACTGTATAAGTTGAGGTCTTATTCCAGTTGGCAATAGGAAGAAATGTGAGGGAAAGTTAATTAAAATTACCAGTATTTAATTTCTTTACCTTAATAGTTTCCTCAAACTGTATTTATTCATAAATTCAGGACTTGTTTTATCAGTATTTTCCTCTGCTAGTGAATTCGCCTGAAATTCTTGAATTTTTAGTTGTTTGGTTGCCATCCAGTAACGACTATCACTCCTTACATGTGAATCTTCGTAGTCATCGGTGCTGAAACACAAATATAATTAGAATGATTACTATAATTCTATGTTTCACAGTAAATCACAAAATCTACAAATTTTAAAGGATCATATTCTTGTTTATTGCTAATTTTTAAGTTTAACTATTGAACACATTGAAGGGATTACCTGCATTAAGTAGGTTAAGCACGTTAGGTTTAGGTTTTGTCACTATTCAAGCCTTGCTTGGGGTTGGGGGTATATTTGCCATATTACAAAATGCAGGAAAAATAAGAGCTACAAGCAAAAAGTAACAAGTAAACCAACTTCTGCCATTGTTCATCTAAATGAACACCCCTACAAAGAAAATAGAACTGTCCCTCTCAGGGCACCACACAATAAACAATAACATATATCAATCATAAACCTCCATTACATAATGTTTTTATGCATACACAAATTTTATAGTGTTACAAGATTACAAGAATATTTCTATATTAATTTACTCACTGTTTGCTCATAAATTCCTGGCCATGGAGCTCATGTAGAACGTCCCGCACCATCTCTTGATTCTGTGGTTGCATATGGAGCTGTTGCATCTTAACTTTGCGTACATCTCCCCAAAACTTTGGTTTCCTTCAAGGAATAATTAATTATACCAATTTTAAGCATCGAAACTTTGTGGACTCTGAAGTCAGGTGGGTTCTAGTAGGGTAACCAGTGAATTCGAGCGGATGCCACTTCGAGCGGATGCTATTTCCAGCGGTTGAAATTTCGAGTGAAAAAGGATCCTGTTTTGCAAACATGAACTTGTGCGAATTTCCTATTTTGACCAAACATTAATTCTGATATTTTTTTGCCCTCTTCAGATTCAAATTTGCTATAACTTTGTGTTTCCTTCTGATAACTTATTATTATTTGTTATAATAGCCTTTTTCTTATATTCTTACACTTATTTTATATATATTTTTCTTATATTCTTACACTTATTTGGCAGTGGCATATTCAGGGAATGCAAAGCATCCCCCATTGCCCGCCACCCACCCTCCATCCATTGAGAATGTTCAAAGCAAAAATTTGTGTATAAAAATAACCTCATATCTCCATTACCATCGAGCTTCACTCCACTCTCATTTTACGGCTTCTAATGTAGATAAGCCACTGATATTTGAACAAAATAAACAAAATGAAAATTTGACGTAATATTTAGTATCTAATTAAACTGGCAATTAAAGTGTCTACATGCTTCTCATCTGCAATTACAATTATGCCAATGTCATTAATTTTGATAGTCTAGTCATCTCCGTTACAATTACAATCATAATTATAATTTGTTTTTTTTTACTACAAAATCCCACTAACTTGCGCAATTTAATAGATATAAGTGCTTGTTAGCAGCCATTTGGTGGTCGGGATTTTCAAAGACTATGATTCAAATATGGAATAATTATTGAAAGTTTGTGACTCACGATTTTTCTTTTCATGCTATTAAATAAATTTTTAAAATTATTTTACATTATAAAGTACAGTAGTTAATCCGGCAGTGGGGGATCTAGGTATAAGAGACAGGGCTAATGACGTGCTAAAGCAATGTGAGGGAACTAGCTGAAAAAATAGTGTGGGTATGGCGTGATTTTGAATTACTGGAGCATAAATGCTGATCGTACCAGCCTGTAATTGGCGAGTGCATCAACAGTACTTGCTGTTGAATTCTTTTGCTTTATATTAACATTTTTGGTGGCAAGCTTGGTATAGAAATCTGCAAGTTAATATACAGTACTGTATTCAATTTATTAACTAGGTTATTAGGCCTACCTGACATTTGATGTGTTAGGAGTGAAACTAGGCTTAGGCCTATCTGATGAATGCTTCATCGACGAATTTCTGTGTTCATTTCGTTTAAAAGATGAAGATGATGAGGGAGAATTAGAATATGAATTGTGAGTAGGCCTAGGCTGAGATTTTATAACAGGATCATCATCAATAAAATCTGCATAAATATCATCAAAATCATCATCGTATCCATCTTCAAAATCGTTATTATAATCTTCATCACTATCTTCATCGTCTTCGCCAAAAAGGTACTGTGAATTCATGGTTGTATGCACTTTCTTATGTGAAGTATTGGGAGGTCTACCACGTAAGCCATTGTTGCCACCTGGGCCACCACGACCAGCTGACGAAGAGCCACGAGCCCTGCCACGAGCCCTACCGCGACTCCGGCCTCTCCCACCTCGACCATCTCCTCCACCACCAGTCTTTGGTTTGGCTCCACCGCCGCCGCGGCCCGAGTTATGTTTCCCGCGTCCCCCACCCCTATTTGGTTTACCTTTCACTCGTACTGCAGAACTCATATCTCTCAATTATGGATAGATTTTAAGCCGATTTTAACCGGGTGTTTTTAAACGTCAGGTTATTGCATTTGATGTTGCAATACGGCACTGGTTGCTATTATTAGAGGAGTAAAGTTTACACGTTCCATGGAGGCAGCCATATTTGGTTAAAAATGCATGATGGGAAGATAAATACACGATGGCTGAACTTCCGGTAAAGAGGCCAGGTGAAGCTCTAGGAAGATTTTCTCGTTTTAACTTTTCCATTGAAAGTAATCCTCTTCATGTTGGTATTGCAAGAAGCGCAGCAGTAAATATACTTGGGGAGCGACAGGATAATTACGTAATTCTGTCCTTAGTTTGGAAGCTAGATTGCAAATCTTGCAGCCACCGGTCTCGCCAAACAGCAGACGGCCGAGAGTTGTTCGTCTGTGCCAAGGTCCTGGACGATTCAGTGGTTAACAAGGGTATCTCTATTGCCCAGGTGTCAGAAAGTTTTATAGGTGTCGTTTTGTATTCTTCCGAGTTCTTCCATCGGCACTATAGTATCCTTGATTCAGAACATGTTCATATACGACCCGTCCAAGCATTTCCTCTTACAAAAGTAGTATTTGGTGCCAAAACACCACAATGTTATGAATGGGCAAAAAAGCGGTTGTTCAGCACTGGGTTGCTAGTGTCTGTGTGCCAACAAAAGGTTTTGGTTCGCTCTGGTGATGCTTTCCTTGCTCCGATTATACCAGTTTTCAGCAACGATGATTCATACAGACTTTCAAATTATTTCGATATTGTGACTCTTGAGTGTGAACCAGTACAACAAGGCATCATATCTCTCAATACATCAATTATAATCACACAAATGAAAGACATTCTTGTTGAAGCAGATGAAACACACCAGAATGAGGACTACTCGTGGCAGCAGGATCCATCGATCTCTTTAGACTGGAGTTCAGAAGATGTAAACAGCATTGCCCCTCTTATATCAGAATTTGCCAAAGTCATTGACAATGTTAGCATTGAAAACAAAGAGAAAGAGGCAACGCACAATCTACGGCTTGTCTGGACAAACCTCATTCCAAAAGCATCAACACATAGGTTAATGCTAGCAGAAGCTGCACAAGGATGTCAGTCCAGTATCTGCGAATCTGTTTATAAAGTCGGTGCTACTGTTCAAACTCTTGCCAAACTGCAAACCTTCAGTGGAAGCTGGATAAAAATATCCAGAAGTTTCCAACAAACTACTTCAAAAGAGAATTGTCCGGGTGAAGGTGAAAGCCAGGCAGAAGATAAAACAATAGAGACAAACTACCATCTTGCTCAATTGTTGGCAATCAATGGATTTTCAAGTTTAGGAAAAGGCACCTTAGAGAGGAACCCTAACCCAGAAGACTGCCTTGTCCCTGAGGATGATGTCTTGTACATATCTCCGTTACTCTGGAACAACGTGCAACATCATCCAACATTACTTTTACAGCCAGATGCAATGCTCTCTGTGCAGGTATCAGTAATGTTAACTGTACTAAGCCCACTAAAAAAGATATTTGAATATCATCCCACCTACCTTACATTTTTTTCACCAGAACCAGTAAAAGCAAAATAAATCCCTCCCTCATTGCTAACCAAGTGGGGGATGATAATTTTATAATTTTAGATGACTCGAACAACATTTTAAATTTCAGTTTGAGATAGGATTTTTTTTTTTTTTTTTTTCAAAGCATGAAATGACCATCAATAATTAATTTCATTTAAGATTTATAAGAATATTACCATAAACTACATTCACAGAAGACTAATGAAAAATCCTGCTATATTTCACCAATCTCAGATTGAATGCAGATTGCATTCATTGCCATTACGAATAATGCTTCTTAATACTATATTTTTTATTGTTACTTATTCTAAGTGAACTTTTTATGTTTTAGGTTGCAACATCTTGTGATTTAGTTGTGAATGAGAGCCTGAACATTGGAAGTCGCAGCTTAGCTTGTAACACAAACCCTCCATTTGCCTGGGCTATACACCTCGCATTAGTTAAATCCCCAGGGTACCCAGCTGTTGCCCAGTTTGACAACATAGTAAAGAAACATTTTGAGGAGCCAAGGTAATAAGCCATGGCATCTAAGCATCTCATTCTCAGCCAACAGGCACATACTACTGGAAGTCATGATGATACTACATTAATGATAATAAAAGTATAAATAGAATCAGCAGATAGCAGCAATACCAATAACAGCAACAATAATAATTGAAAATGACTATAATATAATAATGATTATTTATATTAATAATAATTGTGTTAATAATAATGGAAATAAATAAATACTTAATCATAAATAATGGGTACAGATGTTTGAAATTTTGGATTTAAAAAAAAATGTCCATTACAAAAATATATGTGCTCCCAAGACTTGAACTGGGGCTGCTATGATACTGGTGAGAGTGAAGTGCAGAGTTCTACCCATTATGCTATAGAACTTATCCATGTGCGAGCCTATGATTTTTCAGTCTCTAAAGTTGCATTCACATTGGCTCTGAACTGAAATTCAGACCGTGTGTCCGATGCGGTTTGATAGGCTCACCGATTCACTTATTCAGATTTAGTGTGAATGCATCTTAATTCTGTCGGACCTTGTGCAAAAAAACAGGATAAAAATAAAGTAAAATATCACAACAAAAACAATGGCTTTTCTGCAGTAGAGGAAAAGCCAATAAGTTTTAATTTAATAATAATAATAATGGTAATATTAGTGATAATAATATTTATTTCAGTATTAAAAGTAAAAATAATAATATATTACAATATGAAATACAGTAGAATCCCTATTAAGGAGACACCTTTGAGACCCAAAAAGTGTCTCCTGAATAGGGGTTGGCCTTAGTGTTAAAAGATACTTGCCCCAGTTTCGTGGCTGAAAGTGTCCCCTTATAGGAGTGTCCCAAAGAAGGGGGTTCTACTGTATTTATCATTGTTGTAATTGTATTTCCTTTATAGACTTGTAACATTAGGAGATGTCATATGTATGTCAAGCATAAACTTCCCTGAACACTATCAAGATATTACGGAGGACTGCAGTAATCGATCGCCAGTAATCTACTACAAAGTATCCAAGATTGATGCAAGACATACAAAGGCCACCTCGTACCTGGCAGATTCTGCACATACAAGCATATTTCAGGTTTGTTTTTTTTATTTTTTCATTTTATTTGTTCTTTATTTTTTTCTATATACTTGAATAAAATTGTTGAATTTTGAATCTTGGCAGCTTAAATTCTAAAGTTGTCGGACCTTGTGCAAAAAAACAGGATAAAAATAAAGTAAAATATCACAACAAAAACAATGGCTTTTCTGCAGTAGAGGAAAAGCCAATAAGTTTTAATTTAATAATAATAATAATGGTAATATTAGTGATAATAATATTTATTTCAGTATTAAAAGTAAAAATAATAATATATTACAATATGAAATACAGTAGAATCCCTATTAAGGAGACACCTTTGAGACCCAAAAAGTGTCTCCTGAATAGGGGTTGGCCTTAGTGTTAAAAGATACTTGCCCCAGTTTCGTGGCTGAAAGTGTCCCCTTATAGGAGTGTCCCAAAGAAGGGGGTTCTACTGTATTTATCATTGTTGTAATTGTATTTCCTTTATAGACTTGTAACATTAGGAGATGTCATATGTATGTCAAGCATAAACTTCCCTGAACACTATCAAGATATTACGGAGGACTGCAGTAATCGATCGCCAGTAATCTACTACAAAGTATCCAAGATTGATGCAAGACATACAAAGGCCACCTCGTACCTGGCAGATTCTGCACATACAAGCATATTTCAGGTTTGTTTTTTTTATTTTTTCATTTTATTTGTTCTTTATTTTTTTCTATATACTTGAATAAAATTGTTGAATTTTAAATCTTGGCAGCTAAAATTCTAAAGTGTTTGTTGATATATTCTATATAATTGATTTTCTCTAGGTTACAGCAGTAAACAGCTATATACCAGTAACGATGGATGCATATTTTTCTTGTAAACTTGACCCCATTTGGTTCACACCTGTACCTGCCGGGCTCCTACACAATGTTGAACACCTCGAGAGACTAATCTTTCCGTACCTCATTCCAAGGTGAATCTTAATTATGTTTCAAATAATAATATATAAATGATAAAATTTTCGCTTTTTTTGTTTGTTTTACTCAACGTAATAGTAAAAACAATGTTTAATTTCATTACTTTCTTCCCCACACAGATCTCAGTGCAATAAGTTAGTTCCCACATTCTTATTAACGGGGCCGGTCGGCAGTGGGAAGTCCACCGTTATCGGCGCTGTTTGTCGTCGTTTGAATATGCATGAGCACATGATCAACTGCCATGACCTCTGTGGGGACAGCTCGGCTGCAACGGAAGCAAGGATCAAGAATGTGTTTGTTAAAGGTGTGTAGGTGAAAGTCTTATGTGTTTTTCACAAAATTTATGTATTTGATTTTATTTTCTTTATTTATATATTTTTTTTATTTTGATTATTTACTTTAATTTATCTAGTAAGTTCATTTTTTAGTTTAATTCATTCATTTTTGTATATCTTTTATTGTGCTCATTGAGTTTTAGAGTTGTTTTGTGTGTGTTTTAGAGCTTTTTTTAAATAAATTATTTTGATTGATATATTTCTATTTAGTTATTGTACAATTAGTTATTTTTATGTGATTTATTTATAAAATTTTATATATTTCTTAAAACTGAGATTTACTCTTTTATTAACATTTTCATCCTATTTTTGCAGCTAGTAGCTTTGCACCTTGTGTAATTCAGCTTAGGAATTTACAAGTTCTAGCACGAGACAGAGATGGAACAGGAGAAGGTTGGTTTCCCACAAATTTTTTTCTCATTCCTAAAATTAATGCCAATTTATAACTTTATTTCGTTAAAGGCATGAGGTTTAGTTTGTAGGGTATTATCCTGATTTTTATCTGCTGAATGTGAAATAAATAAAAAATAGTGTCCAAGAATGATTGTATCATATTAAATTTTTAAATGTTAAGATGTTTACTTTGCTTTCTAAACAGACACCAGAGTGGCTGCCTTCTTGAAGGAGACCTTGTCCACGCTTCAAGAAAGCTGCCCTGATTGGCCAATGGTTGTCATAGCAACAGCACCATCTAGTCAAAGTATAGTTGCCGATCTGCAGTCAAGCTTTGTACATACAGTCAAGATCGATGTAGGTTGGAGTAAAAAAAAAATTTACATTATTCAATATCTATTATGCATTCATACATAATATATGTGATAATTATAAGCTTTGTAACCTCAAGGCGCAATGTAAATACCAAGTAACAAATAACAAAATTAAGAAATAGTACAGATACCCATAATTTTAAATCAATTTTTTTTTTACTTAAGACACCAAAGGAGCAGGAGAGGTTGGAGATTCTGCATGCTTTATGTTCTCGAATTGGCATTGCATCGGACGTTGATGTACCGCACCTTGCTCAAAGGACTGCGGTAAGTTCTACCTATACTAAGTGAACATGAAGTCATAATATCACCTTTCACTATTAGACCATCCAGCAAACTAAAGAAAACTGTATTAAATCCAGAGGTTTCTGTGCAGAGATTAAAAATGACAATCTTCATTATTATTATGTGGTTGGTACACCTCAAGTCCACCTTAATCTGAGTTTGGGGCTTGATTTTTACTCTGGTTATGTTATTGTGACCTTGGCTATTTATAAGGTGAGTCAACTACCCAAGTGGTACAGCTATAATATCAGCGCTGCTTCAAATGTCATGCTTACCTATGGTTCTGGTCGTGGAACAAGTCTTTTAGGATAAAGACTATAAACCGTAGGCCCAGTGTACGCAATTTGGCTCATGCGCACTTTAAAGAACCCAGTATATCTTTCGAGATGAGTAAGGGGTTACCCCGGTGTACTAGTCCATACAGCCCCTGTTGTGGACAGACAAGAGATAGCTAGTACCGGTATACCATGTAGTTCAGACACGAAGAGACCCTTCGGTATAAAGTGCTATGTAAATCCAATAACATTACGTCCTCATTGTCTATTTACTCTGTAATATAAATGTCTCAAATGTACAGGTTTACTAATCACCTCAAATTATGTGGTGCACTAAAAACAAACATTTTATTTGTGACATTGCATGATACAATGATAGTGGTCATGGTAGAAGCGTCCTCGTCACAGCCCTGGGTAACCCCAATCTTACCACCACCACGAAGTAATACAAGGAATAATCATGCCTAGACTAGACCAGAGTGGGTCCTTTCTAAGGCCTGTGCTTACGGTCATATGTGGAAACGTCAAAGGCCTCTATGGACACGATAAGAAGAAGATATAGTCAATCAAAGTTTTGAACCATGTTTATCTTTTACTTGTGTTATGAATCAAAAAATCTTAAAATTATATTTTTAGGGTATGGTCTTAGGTGATCTTGCATCACTGCTATCACACACAACTAGAGCAGCTCTGCACAGAATAACAAGTTCATGGTAAGATCGACCAATAAACTATTATATATTTATGTTTTGCATTTTCATAGTTTATAACAAAGAATATACATATGGAATTTTTTGGGGGGATATATTAATATTATTAATATTAATGATAGTAATCATAAATTAAGAGTAACATTAATAATATTGGTATACATTAAGGGAATACTCATGGGCCATTGATTTTTTAGAAGATGAATTTAGCACTTACAAAAAGGATGAGACTCTCCACCTCCGACAAGAAAAAAAAAATTTAACCACAGGTCTTCCTCCAATTAAAGACCAAATTTTTGGGACTGGGATTTCCATGGTCCTTAGCAACTTTGGTCTCTGATTAGAATAGTAAAGATAAAAGACATTCCTTTAATTGGGGTCTTTAATTGAAGGTGATCTTTAATTAGAGAGAGACTTGTATACTAAAAATATGCACAACCCTACATTTTTTTTTCACGATTAATGAAAATTTTATATTAATTTAACATACCCCATGTCTTATCATTTTTTAACCCTTACTAGCGCCTATTGAGTGCCGACAGGATAAGAAGGTGTTTAACGTTAAACAACAACCATAGTAAACTACAAATTTATGTAGTGCCTCAATTACTACAGAATATTTAAAGTAGAACAAATATAATAAGTTTAAGTGGTTTACATTGTTTTACAGTATATGTTATCTATATATTAGCATTTAAGACACTCTAAAACACCTTTCATTTCAGCACACCACAGAGCCTACGGACTAGGTATGCTAGCAGTCATTCATTCATTAATAGCACATACTTGGTGATGGGATTTTCATTAGCTTTCATAACTCTCAGCACTTTGCACTTTTAGTTAATAATTGGTGAACTCTGAAATTTCACCTATTTTAGGGTCGAAACGCTTGACTATAATTTGTGCTGGTAGGAATTTTTACAGGAACACAATCATTTTGTTCCCAAAATGGCTGTCTAATGTCTTGAAAGGAAAATAAAATTAAGTCAAATTATTATTATTTTTCTTAATAAATTTTTTGTGAATGAAACTCCAAGCGAATATCAGCCCTTGATTGCATTTGAAGCACAATAATATTGAATTGAAATGAGCAGTTGAATTTCCACATTGATTTTGCAAAAAAATGCATACTACCACACACCACTGCAATGTACAGCATACCACCACTTACATCTCAAACCAGTGTTTACTGTTTATAAGGGAACGATTTTCATTTCATTTCATTTAGTTTTTATTGTCCAATTTTAAAAAGGAAAAGCAGAGCAGAAACAATTCATTGCATATTTAAAAATATAAAAAATTGTACACACAATCCTTATCCTTATTGATTATCTAATAATTATTAGTATTGTAAATTTTTGCTCTTTGCCTTACATTGAGGGCAGCATTCAGTTTCGGTCACATTGTTAAATTGAGCAGTGAGGCAGTGCCCCAACAAATTATTATGATGAAACAATTTTGACATTTATTCTTTTAGCTCATTATACTTCTTGATTTAATTTTTTGAAATACCACAGTTGCAATGAATGGTAATCATTTATCATATTTTATCAGTTTTTAATCATATTTAACCAATAAAATTTCTTTCATCCAGTTACATTTAATATTGAGTTTGAGTAGATTAAACATAGGCAGTCCTAATGCTTTTTATAATGTATCATTGACACATTTTTTTTTTTACTGTGAGTGTTTTGTACTTTTTATATGTGCTGTTATTTTGAAATAATTTAATTTTTTAGCTGTGTGAGCCTGTGAGATATTATTTTATTTATTAATTTTAATGCCTTTGCTACATTTCTTTTCTTATTTCTTATTTAATATTTATAGATATTTGTTGGTTTTTTTACCTAATTTACTTTCATTAATGTTTTAATTCCAATGTATCTATGTAGTGTGTGGAATAGCCATGATCTCATATTTCCATAGTGTTATTTAAAACCCAATATACAAACAAAAACACAAAAAAAAAATATATGAAAAATAACACTGACACTAGCTTCAATATGTGGAATATTTCATGTTTACTGCTTGTCATTTTACAGCTCTGTTGGAAGTAAGCTGAGTATGCGCGAGGAAAATGACCTTTGCACTGCAGGATTTAAGATCCACGGCGTTGACTTTGAGAAGGCGCTGGACCAGTTACAGTCAGCTCATTCTGATGCAATAGGGGCTCCAAAGGTATCAACAACATTCCTATTGATAATTATAAATATAAATATGAATCTGCATCAGTCGATTCCTATTGATGATATTAAGTTCTGTCCACACTAAGTTTTATATGACAAATACATCATCCTGGCCGTATATGGGCAGATGATACATCACATAAAACTTGTTTGTGTGGACGTAGCTCTAAGTGCATCCTTATAAAAATAAGATCTCAGTAGGTGCGTGTGTCTACTACTTGGCATGTTTTTTTTTTTTTGTTTTTTAACTACATTTAACTCATCCAACATTTTTGGGCCTACCTACACTGGAACTTACATTTGACAAAAAAAAAACTAGTCGTAGTTTTTTTTTTGTTTTGTCATGCGGTAGAATCATCATCGCTCGTAACCTTGAATTATTTGATCGGACGTGTTTGCAAAATTAATGCTGAACGTTGATTGGTTGTTGGATCATGATCAAAGTTGGCAGCTGATAATCAAAGATTTACTAAACTTACCATCACTTACATCGGAAAAGCATTTTGATGGCATAGTGGCTACTTCGCGTATAAAGCGCAGTAGCTACAAAAACAATAAAGAATACCTCTACATCACATCTTCATTGTTCATGCCCAGTTTGAAGTGAATACAAAAATTGAGGACACACTGCAGACTGTCTGCCCTAGTTACAAAGAGCAGTGACATGAAATAGGATTATTGAATTCTTATTTCTACTATTTAGCGTCAAATAGTAATAGACATACGACTTGCATTTATTCTCCCCTTCGTTGTCTACTGGGGTCATAGTCTCTTGAACAATAAACACTGCCCTACATATTGTAGTATTTGTATTTTACTTAAGAATTCTTGTGTAATATCTATACTTATATTGCATATTGTTTTCCTTACTAGATACCAAATATCTGTTGGGAAGATGTAGGGGGCCTAGCCAATGTGAAGGAAGAGATCCTAGACACTGTTCAGCTCCCTCTGCAGCATCCAGAGCTATTTGCAGCAGGCCTAAGAAGATCTGGTAAGATTACTGATATGTTTAATATACAATTCACAAGAAGGCTCAACCCAAATACTGTATACCCAACTTTTACAATACTAGTTCTCTCCTCCAAGTAAAAGGTCTAAATATATTTTTTGATGATATTGTAGCTTCTACAAACAATAATTCCTGTTTGCAATGAAACTAGTAAGAAACTCTTTGATTTATTATCTGTAATCTATTATTATATAGTGTCCAATTTTTAATTTGTTGTGATAGGTATCTTGCTATATGGCCCTCCAGGCACAGGTAAAACATTACTTGCTAAGGCTGTAGCAACGGAATGTTCGCTAAACTTTCTGAGTGTGAAAGGCCCTGAGCTTATCAACATGTACGTGGGTCAGAGTGAAGAGAATGTACGAGAAGGTAAATAATTGTAAAAATTGATAACATTTTATCTTTTCATTCTGTTCAAGTATAGAAATTAAAAACAAAATGTTTTAAACATACTTAAAGTATGGCTTATGGAAAAAGACATGAAATTTGCAAAAAAATATAAAAACACTTGTATTTGGATATCAAGGAAAAATATATGGATTTGATTTCTCTCAAGATTTGCAAGAACTAGAGAATATTAGTTGAAATGATTTTTTCAAAGCCAAGGGCCAGGTTTCAAAATCCAGCTAACATTTTTTGTTTTGTTTTAATCACAAACTTCCCCAAGGCTCAATCAGTAATTACACTTCTATTACATTGATGTTTGTTAATTCTGTCATGTCAGTGGCGAATCTAAAAATACAAAAATGATCTTGGTGTATTTTTTCAACCTAGTGTTCTCACGCGCTAGGAGTGCCACACCTTGTGTGATCTTCTTCGATGAACTCGACTCCCTAGCCCCTAACCGTGGCAGGAGCGGTGACTCTGGTGGAGTGATGGATCGTGTCGTATCACAGTTACTGGCTGAACTGGACGGCCTGCACAAATCCACGGATGTGTTTGTGATTGGTGCGACAAATAGACCCGATCTTTTGGACCCCGCCCTGTTAAGACCTGGCAGGTATGGCATTGTTGGCACTGAGTAACATTAAGAGGGCGCCCACAAGCATGATAGAGGGTTTTCGAATTGTGCGACGACAAGACGCTAGGACGGAATCACTCATGCGTGACCGTCCTACCGGGCGTCCTACGTTCTCTGCATATGTAGAATTTGGCCAAATTGCGTTCCAGAATCTGCTCGACGAGGTTACCTTAACGCTCTCGCATGCGTAGATGACTTTTAGTGACGTCATTACGTTCTACCATCGTCATGCAATCGAAAGCCCCTTAGGATTATACTTTTGTGGCAGCATAACACGCAAATAAGATGTGCATTTGGCTTTATTTTTTTTTTTTTGTCACATCGACTTTTTATTCTATTAGTATACTGTGAAAGTTTCTTTAATGTACAGACTGAAAGTTTTGAAACTTGCATGACAGTTTCAGTCGCTGGCAGCTACCATTATCAAATGACTGGAATGTACAGGTCATGATACATCTCCAGCTTGCCGACTGGTGGCGCTGTGTCAACCTTTAACCTTAACCAGTATACTAATTCAACTATTGAAGACTACATGAAATAAATAAGATTTTTATTTACTAATATTATTATTATTCTTATCTTTATTAGATTTGACAAATTAGTGTATCTTGGTGTAAGTGAAGACAGATCATCACAGCTCAAGATTCTCCAAGCACTCACCAGAAAGTAGGTTCACTTCTCCTATTTAATGCTAGTTTACAGTCCCAATAAAGGGCTTACTCATTATCCATTCTACAATGAGACCCACCCTTTTTGTTTGGGAGTATGGGGTAAACTTACTGTAGCCTGGCATTATTGTCATATTTTTTTCTCGTTTGTTTTCATGTAAAAAATATTCCTGTTTGTCAGATTCAATTTATCCACGGATCTTTCGCTGGAATCACTTACAAGTCAGTGTCCATTCAACATGACGGGAGCGGATTTCTATGCACTATGCTCAGACGCGATGCTAAATGCAATCAAGCGGATAATTTCAAACATAGAAGAAGGTCAGTACATTATAGGATGGAAGTATTATAGTAAACTTTACTTTTGTTTACTGTTTACTATAATACCTCCGTAAGTATCGAGAGGTTTGGAGCTTGGCTAAGCTATTGAAAGTAGAAGTAGTTTCTGCAATCCTAGTAATCATTTTGTATTATAAAATCTTTATTTGGTTGTTAGCATATCCGTTTTTGGTTTCATTTTAGGCCTTCAGTTCTCTTGTTATGCATCTGAAAGGGTCCTGAAAGTTAATTAATGAAAATACTATATCTAAAAAAATTGAACTAGCTATGTTTGTTTAGAAACTTGTGATTCATTTAAAGCTTGCTTTGTAATTAGCATCATCATGAAACTTCATTTGATTAAAAAATATTTGTTGAACAGTTCTCTCTTCTTGTTTATCCTATTAGGAGCGGATGAAAGCACTAATGATGTTGTCGTGCAAGAGGAGGATTTTGAAGCAGCCCTCCAGGTCCTTACTCCTTCTGTCTCGGATGCAGAGTTGCAGCATTATAAACAGATCCAATATCAGTTTAAGAAAGTCTGAACGACACGCTATATCATCCTCATTCAACAAATACTAGATGGGTAGTTGGTATGTAAACATCATCCTTAACAAAATAGAGAGGATACAGCTAATAATAAGATAAAAGTAAAATACGAATACTGTACAGTACCAACTGGTGCTGTAATTCCTCCATGGTGTAACCAAGTCTCATTATGTGAATAAGGAAGTAATATGGTCTAGAGAGATTAGAGTTTTAGGAAGGAGAGAGATTAGGATGGATATTTTTATTAAGAAAAGTCTTTACAGTTTATGTGGTGATGAAACCAATGATTGTGTAGGATTAGAAGCTGGACTTACTTTAGTACAGCATACAAGCATCAGTATTTTAACACACAAAACAACTCAATTACAAGTATAACAATTACAAAGTTTTAACCAAAAAAAGATTTCAGTCTATACTGAAAACCAATGATTTTTGTACTGTAGTTTGCTAGTCAAAGTTACAAAATTACATAAAAATATAAAGTTCTCAATCACTATGTTAGCCACGGCATTTGTTTTAACTACTTTTTTCAATGAATTCTTTGTAGTACTGTTCAGTACTATTGAACAACAATAACAGTCAATTGTGCAATTATTTTTTTAAAGCCACCAGATTACTGTTATTAGTGATACTGTATAAGCGAAGTATTAGTATTATTTTTTTATCAGGTTTACTAGTTATTATTTTTTTTCTGACCTAACCATGGTTTTTTTTTGCATTTTTGTTTATTGTCAAATTATTACAGTAAAAGCATTCAACCTGAAGCTGTAAAATCCTACATAGGTATAAATAAAAGATGCATTTGCCTCATTGATGCTATTGATGATTTTTAAATCTTTATTCTGAGAATAAATGTCGATATTGGTTATAAGTTCTCCAACATACCATGGACATACCAGTAATTTAGCTTACTCCTTAATCTGAGAAAAAGTTAGATTGAAAGTTATTTCAGGGAAAGTGACGTATTCAGTAAGAGATTATCGATAGTTTTTGTAGCTTTTTAAAGGACAGTTTCAAACGAACAAATTTATGTCAAAAGTTTCAGTATATAAAAAGTATTGTACTGTGTGCCCAAGAGATTGTTTCTGAACTGACACATACAGTGATTCAGACCAGTAACCATGACTTCTAAAGAGGGATTTCTTATGAAGGCCAGGGTGGAACTTGTGGGGGAATTTCACCATCATTTTAAGGGGTCTTAAGCAAGGGGGTGGGAGGATATGGGCCTGTAATTACTAGTCTAAAATATATGGTAGTGATATATATTTAAATAGAAAATATATTCAATGAAAGGGTTATAAAAGATAATGTTATGCTATTTGAATTATATGCAATACTTAAGTTACTACTAACAGCTGATGAAAATGTTTATGTATATTTGGTCAAGCTATCATAGTGATATTGAAATGATAATCTTCCAATAAAACTAATTTTATGTTAATGAGAAGGAAATTAATTTGAATATAATGAATAATTCATATGATATATGATAATTCATATTAAATGTATAAGCATGACATACTGTACTGTTTTTTGTTTTTTTAAAGGGTTTATGAGTATTAATACTGTATAAAGAACACAAAAAAACAGTGTACAAAAAGCAGTTTTGTAGCTGCACTCCTTGGGCATGACTAGCTTTTTAGGTCCGAGTGCAAATTAACAAACCTCAACCAGCACAAAGTAAGATTTTTTAAAATATTGGAATACAGTATGTCACTCAGGCTAGAAAACACTCATCAGCACCAATCTGATATCACAAGCAAAAGGCATCGTAAAGTACATGTCTGACCTTTTACAAAGACTTTATCAAAAGCAAAAGATATGGATAGGAGTGTGACCGTCCAAACCAATATAAAATTGTACATTTAGCAGGGTGTCTCCCCTGTACTCAACTCAATGGCATATCTAGCACAACTGGAACGGAGGGGGCGGGAAAACTGATGGGAGTGAAGTGGGAGGGGTTGATGATTGAGAGGGGAGCTAGCTGGCAAAATATGGTGATTTTAAAATACTGTACTTGTAATTCTTTGCTTAGAAAATTTCTAATGGGTGTATCCCCCACGTACCCTACTGTATATGCAGGCAAGTAGACTTGCACCACATTAGTCTGTACCACACTTAAAAGAAACTTTTTACTGCATCTCACAAAACAACACATTAACAATAGGAATACAATTTTGTTCTTTATATTTGAAACTGAAGAATATCTTGGCATATGTACAGGCATATGAAGTCACTTTCTAATGTGTATATTACATCATTTTTTAAGTACAGGTACAGGTAACAACTTTTGTTCTAATCATACTGTGTATTCTACACTCTATAGTTAATACAACATGTAGGCATAAAGGTATAAAAATTGGCCCTTACGATCAGTCATCAGTTTATATTTTGCATTATGCTAGCATTTATGATTTAAATCCTGTATTTATGTTAAAAATTATCTATCCATCCCACCCTTCATGTAGTAGTGCACACATCAACATTTAGATCTATACACTTTCACTGACCGAATGCATAGCTGTGGAATCAAATGGGTACTAAAGCAAGACAACTTAACATAGCTCTCCATAAGTAGTATCAATTTGGCCAAAATGCATGATAGTAGCGTCAGTAATGCTTTATTAGTTACAAGATTTGGGGAACTCTCCGCAAACGGTGAGGTTGCAAAATATTGCGTACGATGAGATCAGGGAAACACAAGAAGCGCACAAATTAAGAATGGACTCTAAAAAATATGTGTAAATCATAAAAGGATATGTAATGGATGCCTAATACCATCACCAAATTTGATAATTAAAATCACTGCACTGTAAATGGCTGAATATTTACAAGACAAAAATATTTAAAAAATCAGAAGCATAGAGTAGCATAAAGCTCAAGATTTACATTTGGCAAATAAGCACACTAATGAAATTATGGCTTTTACATAACAGCTACTAAAATGTTAGATCCCACAAAATGAAGTATGGTATTCAATAAGTCTACTTGTAGTTCAGACTGTGCATGTCTATGTTACTGTGTATACAGTACATTGAAAAACAAATGCAAACAGGCCCATCAAAAGACTGGTTTCAGTATTTAGAAAACTAAGATCAAAATGATAAGCGTTTATTTGTCTTGAACTTTGACAGTCATGCACAGTTGTAACTACAAGAGGGATTAATCTTACTGTGTCCCGATGAGTTGTAAGAGCCAGGCAATACAAGAATTCACAATCATAATCACAAGTAATCTACAGTACTGTACAATAAGTGAATTCTGCCCTTCCCTTTTTCCTGATCAAACCTGAAACGCCCTTTGAAGTTTCTAAACTAGATGCACGAAAATCGTGGAATACCCACAATGCCACATTTTAAAATTAAACCAAAAACAATACTGTACACCATTACTGTAATTTAACTCCCAATTTGTCAATATTGTCTGAAAAGGTGTTAACTATTAGGACATTTCAGTAATGTACAGTAATGCCAGTCAGATTGAACTATTTGACTAAACACACAATGTTAACCCATTACACAGCTACTGTAGGCTAGGCTACAGTTCATAATTTTTATACTATTTGTAATAGAAAAACAGCATATGTAATATATGCTAATTTTCTATAAAATATATAATTCATATGGTGTACAATTGCATACAAGCTTCTTGAAAGAATATAATCAATTAATGGCTTGGAATTCAGATTGGACGCAAATTTTTAAAAATGGCAGGAAATATGTATTTTCTGAAACTTAAACTAAGTAGGTTTTAAAATGAATGTTACAGTACAAAAATCGATTGAAATAAAAAAATTGCACGAAGAACTAAAAACGACAAATATTTGGTAAGTACTGTACAATATTTAATGAGAAGGCAGTTTTAAAGAATTCCGCCGCTGTAATGTGTTGCTAACATGTTTAAGTCGTTTCGATGCACGCCGTACAAACTGGGATGTGCTGGCCCTGCGAACTCTTCTGTGAACACCCAACATACACATTTTTTGTGGCGGAGACATCAACGGCTCAAACATCGCTGAACTTCTCTTGCGCTTTCGACTTTGGCGTGTATCCACTTCCGTTACTCTCATAGATGGGCACTTCTCCAAAAGTTGTACAGCAACAGAAGCTGAAGGCCGTGCATTAGGATCGACATGGAGCAAGCGGCGTAAAAGGCGACGGAACTCTGCGCTGCATCTACTGTAGAACTGCTGATCGAAATTGATACTTGGGTTCTCGTAGCGAAACTTTCCAATTGATATCGATCCATAACCAGGATAGTTAACATAGCCAGCAAGGACTTTAGTATCTGGTAGAACCTTGTGCTCAGTAAGTGCATACATGATAAGTCCCAAACTGAACATATCAACCGAAGTACAGCACCGTCGAAGCCAGCTCGCATCAGCATCGTGCGTTTCAGGTGGTGCATAGTACACACGAGCAAGGTCACGCCCCTCTTTCAAGCATGCGTTTTCTTTATCTTTGGTTTCTGCGTTTTTGTCAGGGATTCCACATAGCTTTGCCAGTCCATAATCAGTCAGTTTTAAAACAGCTTCTCCTGTTTTATCTTGAGTAACAATAACGTTATATGGGTTTAAGAACCCGTGGCTAAATCCACAGCCATGTAAGAACGCAACACCTTTCATCAGTTGCGTGAAAAACACTTTGTAATTATTATCGGACATGACTAAATAACGGCACATTATATAGTCATTCAGAAATTCTCCATCAACATTCTTGTACACAGGGCACAAAAATATTTCAGTGTAGTTTTCACGTCGAAGAAGCACATGCTTAAGCCGTGCTATGTTCTCGTGCTTTGGTATCTGGAGCAGGGTGTTTTTCAAGACGTCCCGATTGCAACGTGCTTCATCTTCACTCATGGCGATCATTTTCACCAACCTCGTCTTACTTCCTTTCCATGTAAGCTCTTCTAAGTTATGCTCTGCTCCGAAGAATCCATCCCTGAGTTTCTCTTGAATTACAAAAGAATCCATTTCTGAAGCTAATGCAGGTTATTTTGATATAATTTATGCCTGAAACTAGGCCTAGGCACGCAAACGCAAAAGATTATCGTTTGTAAAGCTAGGCCACAGTAGGCTAGCCTCAGTGTTTGTTGTTGTGGTTAACCCCAACGGCTTTTGAAACGCCCGCACAAACAATCATCGCAGGTTTATGATTGGTTCATTTTACAGTGGTCCCGATTCGCCAGCCAATCAAAACTGTTTACAACAATAGCAAACCGGCACTGCAATAGAGTCTAGTACAGTACTGTCTGTAGCTATAATTTTGTAATGGCACATCTAATTGCTAACTGATCTGTTTCTTTTTTTGTTTTCTATTAATTTGGAAATTTATAGAGGCTCACTCTTCCAGCTAAACCTGGAGAGGTGCCTGTTTTTATAACAAATTTTTGAATATTTAAAAACTGGGGGGAAAGGTGGGAAAAAGGGTGGATATGCCCCTTAATTTTCCCCCTAGGTTTTTAAATATTCAAAAATCTCTATCTCATTAACCGCTTCCAAGTTTTTTGTCAGTCGTACAACATATCAATTTTTTCCCCCTGAGCCTGGCTTAAATATAAACAAATTAATAAAACACACATTAAAAGCATATTAAAATATGACATTTTAGCCAAAACTAAACATCAAAACAGCATTCCACAAATTAAAAGAACAGCATTCAATTATTAAGTCGATTATAAGTATGGCACTGCCTGGTTTCCCCAGCCTGTTTCCCGCCATTGGTAGCGGCAAAACCCACAAGGTATCTAAAACAATGCAGATAAATTTTCACTTCAAGATGAAAATGCATACTTCCAATAAAAACATGAAAACACAAAACCAATAAAAATACAGTATCATTTTATTCATAGAATTTACGATTGCAACAGACAAATGTACAAAATTTAAAAAGTAAGAATAATTGGGCACTTTCCTGTCCTCATAATGTTTTGAAATATGATACACAACTGCATTACTATGGTTTTTCTAAAGGTTTCAAATTGTATTACAGTAGGCATGCTCTGTCCAGACTATCAAATTATACCATGTGACATGCCTAAATATGGTCATGATGACACCACATCATGACCATATAAGCACATTATGACTATTATGGGAATAAAAACAGTTTTTTTTTTTGTCTAAGAAAATTTGATAGTGTGGGCAGTTTTAGTACTGAAGCAGTACACATGCAAAATGTACAATATTCATATACTCAAGACATAAGTACTCTAAATCTACATACATTTTCATAGATTTCATAATTGCAATAGCTATATCAGAAATGTACAAAATTGAGAAAGTGACAAATAAATATTATATCAATTCTGTACTATGTATATAAAAAAATCTTTATCAAAATGATAGAAAAATGCACTTAATATGTCTTCATATGTCTTTCTATTTTGTTAGTACTGAAACAGTACATATATTCAAATTCAAATATTTTTTATTGTGTAGTAAACATTTAAATACAGACTGCCATCCAACAATCTAGTAAACCTTCTTACTCCTTAACCTAAATGATTATTTTGTTACTTAAATTGTACATCTCCATCTTAATTTTGTAACGTTATATTGATTTTTGAAAGAAGTCATTAAGTGAATAAATGTTGTTTGTGAATTGTTCCCTTAAAAGATTCACATTAATTATCAGCTTTTGATACACACACATCGAAAAAAAAAAATGTTTTAAATGATCTATTTATAAGCATATTACTAAAGAAGTCCTTAAATTTGTTAATAAAAAAGTGTGTGCAAAGCCACTATTGGAATGGTATTGCTTACTCATTCATTTAACAGGGGTGGCACCAGCAGGTGGTTTGACTGGGTCCAAAACTTCCACTGGTGAGGCCAGGCTCAGCCGTCAGGGAGGCTTGGCCCAGCCGTCAGGTGAGAAACAATAAAATCTATCTGGGAATAATTAAAACATGGTAGGGGTGAGTTGAGTGTGGAAGATTAGCCACCTGTCATAGAAACACTGGTGCCACTCCAGCTGCCTTTTAATGGTGAAGAATTAATTTATGTTATTATTTTAACAATATTTATTTACTAAAACAATGTGAGCGATTTATTTTTTTTTTTATTTATAAGATTTAAGTGGCAGCATATTTTAAGTGTTTGCAGTTAGAGAGCAGCTTTGATGAGTCAGTTAAACCGGTGGAAGCCACTGCGTGTGCGCTGAACCGTGACACCCTTTGGTACCCTTTTGTTTCAGCTAGAGAGCTGACATACGAATACAATATTAAAATAAATCACACCATCTTTTGGAATTGGAAGAGATTAAAGCAGTTGGGTCTTGTGTGCAATATGGCCCATGTTAAAGAATGCAGTACGCTCCTCAGAAAAGAGTAAGGGGTGTACTGCCCAATTACTACCAAAAGGACCCCACTGGAATTTAGTTATTGTTTTGTGGGTTTTCCTTGGAATCCAATCCAATCCAAGCAAGTTCAGCAAATCAGTCGCTACATATTATTAAAATGTATTGATAATTAAAAATGATATATATCATTATTATATAAGGAAGGATCAGATAGAGGAAACAGGAGATATATAAATGAGGCAAGTCCGACTACAAACAATATGGAAATGATTGCACTGATTGGCCGACGGTACGAGAAGATTTGATGAAATGCAGGAAATCCCATCATGTTGCAGAAACTGTGGCAAAGCAATATACCAATGAGATGACCTGAAATTATCAAGAAAAATATTGATTAAATCAAGATTAATATTGTTTTTAAATATTTACTTTGATAATTAATTATTAAATAACAGTTTATGGAAGTAAAATACAAAGGGAAAGAAACATTGGCTGCCTGGAAGACAAAAAACATCCAAAACCTATTTACACTAATTCTAGCCCTACTGTTCGCCTCCCTATTAAAGTATTCATGTGGGTGGGTATATCAAGTGGGAAACTTTGTCTGGGACAAAAGGCTGGTGTCACCATCCTTTTACAATTACTGTATTAGAGAACAAATTTTTTACCTGTACGAAGGAAGATGAATGCACAGAATGTCCCAAATATCGTTGTATATGTAAACTGAAAGACTAAAAAAAAAGTAAATTGTGTTAGAAATTAAAGCAACTTCATAATTATGTATACAAAATTAGTAATAACAGAGAACTGTGATAGCGCCTACAGTTGGAAATTAATATTCCTCTTTTTTGCAAACTTTTAATGGTCTGCCAATATAATACTAATCTAGTGGCAACTTATTTGATGTCCCTCATCCCCTCCAGAGGTGTATGCTGGGGTACAGGTGTGTAGATGCATCCCTACGGTGGCATATTGGTTAACAAAAACAAAAATAACATAGAAGTTTCATTGGTATAAGGATTTAGTTCCACACTCACAATTTTCACACCCCCCAGGCCAAACCCAACATAATATATGCTATTGCCTACCTGCTACTAAGGGTAGCTTTCATCCTTCCCCCTCCCCCTTCTCCTTGTTTTTGCAGCTCTATTGCTGCTGACACGTGCATTCTTACAGACAGTAATGATTTATTACTAAAGTGACTATACTTACTAAAGCTGAAAAGAATGTTTAACAGTTGTTCCTGAGACCTAAATCTTTCTATTGCATGGTGGGCATGAGCTGTGAAAAGCGAAGGAGCGAAAGAAACATCTTAGATATGCCAAGCGCTCAAAATTTATTTGATTAATGGTTTAATATACTGAAGAACATAATCTAGAAGGTATTTGCTCGATGGATGAACCCTTGTTAGCAAAAAAGAGGGCGCTTTACATTTCGTAATTAAATGGTTATACTGTATATTCAAAATGTTTGCATTGTTTTTTATATATTTTTCTATTTACACTCGGCAGCCTGTTCAATATAAAGCTAGTGTAATTCTCCCACAGAGTTCAGTTAATCTCTATAAGCTTAAGCCACTCACACATTGGGCCCCATGAACTGCGGTCGGCCGACGCAATTCCACAATATATATGTGACACAACGGGAGACACGCAACAGATCGTTTATAATGGCAATCCGTTCAGTCTATCATCGATACAATTTGCAGACAGGAACAGGGACAGGAGCGGAGTTGGATTAGTAGCCGGCAGTCGTACAACGCAGTGTGTACGGCGGCGTAAGCCTCATAATGAAGCTTTGGGCGTGGAGCTGATTTTAGTTGTGAGAAAATATCTTGATTTTTGACAGGATTTCAACCTACGACCCAGGAGTTTCAAAATAAGCATATTACTACCTACTGTACCAAGCTACACTATATTCCAATTATTGCACATACTGTTTATTGTAAAATACAGTAGAGAAACAAAAATAGGCATAATTCTATTTGTCCATTATGAAACAAATTAGATGGTATGTAGCAATTTGAAATAGATGTAGGTGAAAGAAATCTTAAGAAAGTTGATAAATTAAACGATTAAGAATGTTTTGTTGAATTTTTAAAGATAATTATGTCACCAGCAGATCTTTAATCTTATTCCGAAAATAATAATCCAAATACATACATAATGAGTATTAATATAAAGTATTTTATCACCTCCTGGGCAAATGTATTAAATATCACATACCTACACCAAATAGTAAAGGGCATATGAATATAGATTTTGTGATTCCAAGACACGGAACGAGCAAAGGCAACATACACGCTCTGAATATAAACTCCTCGGAGATCGGCGCCTGGGGAAAGTAACATAGATGATGTTGATGGGTGATTGAAGGTGGCATTTACATGGAGGAAAATACACTTGTCATCATGGTGAGAAAAATAGAACATGACAACGTAAAACTGGGCTTAGGAAATCAACACCACTTTCGTACGGAGATTACTTTGTGTTCTAAAGATATTCAAAACTAATGCGAAAAAATTCAAATTCCTTGTACTGCTGTAGGTATTACATACTTTACATAACAACCAAGATAAATATAAATGTACTGTTAATAATAATGTCATATCATAAGATGCACGGAAATCGTATTTTCGAGTTTTTAGAACTAAATCGACCTGGCTCTACTGAGTATGAACTTTGTCTCTTATACACATCTATACTAATCTAGTGGCAACTTATTTGATGTCCCTCATCCCCTCCAGTGGTGTATGCTGGGGTACAGGTGTGTAGATGCATCCCTACGGTGGCATATTGGTTAACAAAAACAAAAATAACATAGAAGTTTCATTGGTATAAGGATTTAGTTCCACACTCACAATTTTCACACCCCCAGG